AAGGCTAGCTTAACTGTACAGTAACTGTCAAAAGGCAGTGAGATAGAGCAATAGGTGGTATTATATTGCAAATGTAATTCAAAGCCAAGATGTGCAAGTGAGCAAACTGTCCCTAAACACTATGTGCTTAGCAAGAACGCAAAGTGTGTTCAGCTTCACTTTTTTACTTTTGGAATTTAACAGGTGATCTTTCGGAACAAAGTCTGTTTAGCCGCAATTTACAAAACAGCATTATCAACTAATGCGCTAAAGTTGAATCACATTCTTTAACAGTGACATTCATGTTAAACTGAACTGAATCATCATTGAACCGACTCAAACAAAACAAATTGTGGATGTATTGAATATCTTTCACATTGACAGAACTTCACACTTATTGCCGATTTATATTTATAAAACTGCTGACAAAATCATTTTCTTTTTTTTTATAAAGCACTACTGAAATAAAAGTGACTTGACTAAAAATGGGAAGTTATAATTATGTTTGGTCATTAATTTACACAACAACAAACCTGAGGCCTGAAAATATTATACACAAAGTTTAAAAGAGCAAGCTTCTGAATATGTGCTCTCTTCAGTTGGTATAAACTTAAATAAGTTTAAAATGGTATTATATGTTCAATTTGGTCTGTGGCTATGCATGAGTACACTTGAAAAAAAAACTAATTGGAAGAACTCAATTTCCATCCAATAATTTTGTTTAGCACCAACTAAAAGAAAACTATTTACACAATTGAATTGGTCAAACGTGATTTTAACGTTAAAATCAAACGTGATTTTATTTTTAAAGGTTTAAATTTGTATTTTTATTTAACTTTTGAGTTTGTTAATATAATTTATGTCTATGTGTCATATATTTCAAGGTCTCTTAGTTTTATTTGAAGTTATTCTTAATCAACTAAAAGAGCCTGAGCATATTTCATAAGTTACATATACAATTGATTGAAACTGATCTCAGAACTAATGTCAGGACAGTTATTGCTCACTGAGCAAAGCAACAAACTGCATGTTTGCTAATTGAACACCAAAAAGCAAAAGTGCGAGGTGGTAATCTCAAAACATTACATTACATGAAACATTACATGAAACTCTTTTAAATCTTCAAACTGAATAAAGATTAAACTCTAACAATTCTTTCTATAAACTTTAAACACCTAAGAATACTTTTATTGTCAACAATTTCCTCTCTTAAATTAATCCTATGCAAAGAATAATGGAAACTACAAATCCCCTAACCAAATAGTTGGACCAACATAATTCCTTCATGTTGTCCCAACACAAAACAATTAAGTTAACTTAATGGTTTACAAATTGAAAAGGACTAAACATAAAACAAATAAATTGGCTAAAGAAACTTTAAGAATTGTGTTGTTTCAGCTAATTTTAAACAGGTAGATTGAACAAGCAGCGGTACGCTTTTTTGAGTGTACTTTGATTCATTCATTCATTCATTCATTCATTTTCTTTTTGGCTTAGTCCCGTTATTATTCTGGGGTTGCCACAGCGGAATGAACCAACATCTTATCCAGCATATCATATGTTTTACGCAACAAATGCCCTTCCAGCTGCAACCCATCACTGGGAAACATCCATACACACTCATTCACACATATACTACACTCTCAAAAATAATGGTACGCGGACTGTCACTGGGGTGGTACCTTTTTAAATTTGTGGCTAAAAGGTCCATATTAATACCTCAAGGGTACATATTAGTACCTAAAAAGTACAAATGTTTTTCTCTTTAAATTTGTAGGTACTAATATATACTTTTAAGGTACCAATATAGACCCTTTAAGTACACATTTTGAAAAGACACCACCACAGCGATAGCTCGCGCACCTTTATTTCTAAGAGTGTACGGACAATTTTGCTTATCCAATTCACATATAGTGCATGTGTTTGTACTTGGGAGGACATGCAAACTTCACACAGAAATGCCAACTAACCCAGCGGAGGCTCGAACCAGCTACCTTCTTGCTGTGAGGTGATAGTGCTAGCCACTGCACCACCAAGCAGCCTTGTGCTTACTTGGCAACCAAAAATAAAATGATGGCCAACAGGACTGTACAGTATGTTGAAAGTAATCTGTTTTTGTGTTTTTTTACACAGTGAAATCACCAATCCTGACACATTTAGTACAAGGTTTTAGTCATTTTAACAGATCTGAGAAAACAGAGATAAATTTGGCATTGTTTATTTGCAAAACTTGTATACAAAACTTGTTTACAAAATTATTGCTGTAAACTAAAGCTACAAGATGAGAAACAGGCCAGGTTGTTTTATTGCCAATCTTCTAATGTTTGATTATCCTCTAAAATGTCATTTACATCCCATTTAACAATTAAAATGTTGACACCAACCGAACACCAATGAAAAAAATAACGCTTGAAAGCTTGTGTCTTTGAACATGTGGAATGATGGATGACATTTTAGAGCTGCAACAGAGTGGAAAATTAACATTGGATAACAAATTAAGCCATATGGCTTTCAAAGATTTGTAAGGCAAAATCATAATAAACACTTTTATGTTTTTATTGTTTTTTTATTCATTTGTTTGTTTTTATTTTGAGCATGACTGCCATTGTAGCTTTGAACAAGTTTTGTATATAAAAAAGCACAATAATTACACAATAAATGTTAAAAAAAACATATAATTAAAAAGAAAATTGTCATTTTGAAGTGACCTATTCCTTTACAACCTAGCAATGCCTAGTGTGCAACGTTCTGTGTCCTTGAACGCATTTTCTGAAATGCCCACTCACTTTCATTTGGATTACTGCAGTGAGAGACCCTCTGTAACCTTCCTCGCCCCCAATCGCAGCCACACACACACACACACACACACACACACACACACACATACGCTGTCAGAGTGTCAGTGAAGTGAACTTGCACTCAGGTCTCATTACCTCCCACACACCCCACTGTGTGATGCTGTAATCTGACAGTATGAAGGATGCTTCAAAGACACAGAAAAATCGACTTTAACATCGCTATACATGCAGTAAGCTTGCTGAAATCCATGAGTAAACAGTCCAACGGTTGCTCTGACAAAATATAAATGCCATCAAATAGATGGAACGAAATTATGTTGATAGTAAACAAGGAAAAACTGCACTGCGTGTACTAAAAACGTGTTTTGATATAAGCTGAAATGTGCTTCATGTGGTAAAATCTAAATTCTGATTTCCCCCCCTAGTCAAATACATAATTTATTATAAATGAATCAGTACATTAAGTGACATAAATGGAAATCATTTGTAATGCTCAGATCATTTTATAGTAAGATTTACTTATTTAATAGTTAAATTCCTTACTGCAGGCTACATTGGTCCCTTTTATTACATGTAAAGTATCCATTAATTACGTCCCAAGACACTGGGATAGGCTCATCTCTTTAACCCTGTACACAGGACAAGCATTTAAAGAGCGGATAGATTGATGGATGTTCGCTGTTTAACAGTCTTTACACATTTATTTGATGGGAACAGAATTGAAGCTGATCCAGGAGCTCAAAAATCCTTCCACAAACCACAACAGGACCTGACAAGCAAAGCCAGAGCAGCTTCAGCGATCATATTTGATGTCATGAAAGTGAAAGCAAGAGATATTAAACAAGCAGAAAGAAAATGTAAATATTGAGCCGTATACTGGGAGTCTGACAGAAGCACATCCTCAGGGCATTCCTTTTCTTATACCCTTACTCACAAAGTCTGAACTCAAATTAAATACTAGATTTAATTTATGACAGACATCAATCTATGAATGAATAAGACATTTTTATAATAACAAATAGTAAAGTAGTGCATGATCATTCAACAAACAACTTTAACTATATCAACAATCAAACATGTTTACAATTAAACATAAGTAATAACAACAAACAACAAATATCTGTGTGTATATACAGTGGAAGTCAGAATTATTAGCCCCCTTTGAATTGTATTTTATTTTTAAAAAAATTACCAATTTATGTTTAACAGAGCAAGGACATTTTCACAGGAGGTTTGATGTTTTTTTTCTTTTTTTCTGTAAAAAGTCTTATTTGTTTTATTTCGGCTAGAATAAAAACTGTTTTAATTTTTTTTTTTTAAAACAATTTAAAGGTCAAAATTATTAACCCCTTTAAGCTATATATTTTTTGATAGTCTACAGAACAATCCATCATTATACAATAACTTGCCTAATCACCCTAACCTGCCTAGTTAACTTAATTAACCTGGTTAAGCCTTTAAATGTCACTTTAAGCTGTATAGAAGTGTCTTGAAAAATATCTGGTAAAATATTATTTACTGTCATCATGGCAAAGATAAAATAATACAGTTATTAGAAATTAGTTATTAAAACTATTATGTTTAAAAATATGTTGAAAAAAAATCTTCTCTCCGTCAAACAGAAATTGGGGAAAAAACAGGGGGCTTATAATTTTGACTTCAGACTTCAACTGTGATATATATATATATATATATATATATATATATATATATATTTCCACAGAATATTTTCAAAAAGGAACGTGTGTAACCTATTTCCCCCTTTAAGTTGAGTATCATTTTAACACGGCCAGTTAATTTTTGAGTTTACTTGAACTCCTGACGCTATCAAAACATCTATACGCACTAAAATTGTTAGTCTTCACCCTATTGTCACAAAGGATCATTGGGATTTCATATACTTGAGAGGTTACAGTCATACAGACTCGAATCTCGACCGACTGAAGAAAAACGTTTTCGAAACTCACTTCTCAAAACTCCTATGTCATTGCTTTCAGCAAACATTCGGTATGAAACGCTCATCCGTTAATCAACTCAATTTAATATAAAATTTAATACAAAAAGAAACTTAAAACTTAATTAAACTTTTCACCACGTCTGTAAGAGACAGAAAGCCTTCCATGGTCTGGTTTGACTTTTCTGTAATTCCCAGTGCAGTTTATGTGTAAAGTCTATTGATTTGATACTATGATATCAAAAGTCTCTGAAACACTCGCGTCTTACCTGTTGGCCCCTCCAGACTTTCCGCACAGACCCTGGCGATGAGAAACAGCAGAACAGCGCACAGATTCATTGCAGCGTTTAGCCCAGCAGGTAAAGACAGGTGAAATACAGTGAGCGAGTGTGGTAGAGTGTGGTAAATATCCTGCTGCTGCGCCACTGAGTTTCATCCAGAAACGCGCCGCACAGACCCCAGATCTGCCCGCTGACGTCACGACAAACTATTAAACCCCCTTAGAACTCCACCAGATGTACTCGCTGAACAGAGAAAGGACTATGGCGCCTCTCTGCGGTTAATCACGACACATTTTCCTATCAACTGCTGCTGAGATTGGATTTGCAGAGATTTGGTTCATCAACTCGCGTGGTTCGTTTTGAGTTGTTTGTCGAGAGATTTAAATTGAACTAGTGTAGAAGTGGGTAGGAAGGTAAAAGCTAGTTGTTGTAAAGTAGGCTACTCACATTGTCTACATCCTTGTAATTTCCTTCACACATTCTAAAATCAAATGTGAAGGACTAAAAATTTAAACAATAAAATATATCAGTCACAAACGAGGTGATTAAGATATATTTTTTAAAGTGTTCTAATTTATTCATTCATTCATTGAACAAAAAAAAAATCTATTAACATATTATTATAAAAGAAAAGATAAACCTGAAAGTATGACAAAATAACCTAAAAATAATTGTGAAAAGGGTAAAGGATAGAAATACATGTAGATTCAATATCTGTTCAGGATCCCTTCCGTATTCCAATCTGAATAAAAGCAAAAAGTCAATAAGTGAAAATTTGCTAGAATTAATTTAAATTAGGCCTAATTAAATTAAATTCACCTTTTTTGTATAGCGCTTTTACAATGTAGATTGTGTCAAATCAGTTTCACATAAAAGATCATAGTAAACTGCAACAGTGTATTTCAGTTTTTTAGTGTTCAGTTCAGTTTAGCTCAATTCAGTGTGGTTTAATAATCACTACTGATAGTCCAAACACTGAAGAGCAAATCCATCGATGCATAGCTCTACCGATCCCAAACCATGCAAGCTAGTGGCGACAGCGGCGAGGGGAAAAAAAACTTCACCAATTGGCAAAAGTAAAGAAAAAAACTTTGAGAGAAACCAGACCATTTCAATTTCTCTGCTGTCCAACTGTTTTGTGCAGAGCTGCAGTGTCAGCGGCAGAGGATGAAGAAGATTGTTGTGTTTAATGCATTCTACAAGTAAAACATCTATTGCAGTTGTAACCAGTGTACATGTTTCTCAATGTTTATAACTCAAGAATGAATGATAAATATAAAAAATTTGTTCTGAGAAATAGCAAGCAGCAGAAATCATAAACCCAAAAGCTGTTGAACACAAAGTTCAAATCTGCAGGAGCGAGATGGAAAAGTCAATACTTTGCCGACCTCTCAGTGGCTCTTTGTAGCAAAGAACTCTCTTTCTTATCCTTTTCTTATCTTCTTATAGCCATTTGTCAATGTGCAGGGTTTTAGAGATGGCTTAAGATGGGGTTTGATGTTACATTATGGCTGAGCTGTTCACGGTACATTCCATTTGTACTTGTGTGTCATTTCCAAGGTTCCAGTAAGAACTTTGAAGGAATGTCCTTCAAGTCTGAATTTTGACCAGAGCAGACCAGACTTTAGCATCCAATGGCTGCTCAGTTTAGACTCAACCGTTTAATCTAGGGTAATCCACAGCCGAATGAACCGCCAACTTATCCTAATGTTTTACGCAGTGGATGCCCTTCCAGCTGCGACCCATCACTGAGAAATATTCATACACACTCATCCACTCACATACACTAAAGATAAATTAGCTTACCCAATTCACTTATACCAAATGGTTTGGACTTGTGGGGGAAACCGGAGCACTCGGAGGAGACCCATGCAAACACGAGGAGAACATGCAAACTCCATACAGAAATGTCAGCTGACCCAACTGAGGCTCGACCAGTGACCTTCTTGCTGTGAGGCGATCGTGCTACCCACTGCGCCACCGTGACACCCCATATAAAATCTAGCACTGCAGTTTCTTACTTATTGATTGAGTGGCTAATTTGTATTAGTTTGTATGATCTCATTCGTACTTCTAAACCTACGATCACACTGGACTTTTCTTCCCAAAGACTTCCATTTATACACAGGCAAATGCGTCAGACTGGAAATGCAAGCTCTTGCGACAACTTTTGCAGTTCGCTGCATTGCAAAGTTCAAGCTTGGTGAACTCTGACCAGCGAGACCAACCGAGAATCAAAATGTGACCTCTCTGGACAGAAATTTAAAACATGGAGCAATCGCTCACTTTTTAATTGTTCAAAGCTTGTTTAATCCAGCCCCTTTTCGCAGTGCCATACGACAGAATTTTGCACACACAATCTCTAGTGTGACTGTAAATTAAGTGTGCTGAAGCAGGGCTGGAACTAAACTGCTCAGGGCTGCGGCCCTCCAGGAATTGAGTTTGACATCCCTGCTCTAGTGTGACCACAACTTGTGGATGATTTTCTCATACCCAATGAATGTAGGGTTAGAGATGGGGTTTGGTGGTGAGCCTCCTTTTAAAACTTTTTTTTTTCATACGTATGAAGTTGTATGAGTTTGTACAAATTAGCCACTTTTCTGAAAATTCTAACATTTTCATATACAAGAGACATTGTATATTACAACTGAAGCAGACCAAGAGCACTGAGGCTCCTGTTTCTGGATCTATTTACCTGGTTTAGATCCAGCCCTGCTCTATAACACCTGCTGCAAATGAAGCCAAGAAGATAAGCCACTAATTAGCCATTGCAGGTGTGTCTTATTAAGGCTGGAACTGAATTCTGCAGGATCTCCAGGAGAAAGATTGAACACTTCTGATTCAGACCAAACATTTATCTTGTTTATCATGCTGTCTGTGCTGAGATGAATTGTAGTGTTAGTCATGACACAGCAGCAAACGTTAGTGAATGGAAGTTTCTTAGTGTCTTTTGTCTGTGTCTAAAAACATAGTTAGCTACCTACCTATAAAGTGAGTTGTGTGACTATGTAAGTGAGTCACATTACTTTTTAAGTCACTGAGTATGTTTACATGTACACCGGTATGATGATGAAGAGACTACTACACTGTAAAAAATAAATTGCTGAGAAAACAGAAAAAAATAAGGCAACTTGATGCAGTAAGAACTTTGAGTTGTCTCAACAACTGTTTTTTAGTTTTTCTCAGTAACAATTTTTTGTTCAGCTAACATAATTTTGTTTATTTATGCAATGTTGATTATTGTATTTTACTAATGAAGATATTCTTGTCACATCAACTGAAGCAACAGTAACTGCTATTGAGTCAATAGTTTTTTTTCTGTTTAGTAGATTTTTTTTCAAATTTGCAAAATAAGTAATTAGTTCTAGTTAGCATATCATCCTGTGTTTAATCATTTTACTTAAAAATGAACTCAAACTTACCACTTTATCCATTCATTTTACTTTGGCTTAGTTTCTTTATTCATCAGGGGTCACCACAGCTGAATGAACTGCCAACTTATTCAGCATATGTTGTTACTCCCCTCGAGATGAAACAAAGGCTCAAGTCGTTCTTGATTTTAACTGACATTTATTCGGACACGAGTCTGTAGTATGTCTTGTACATTCTAGCCTTGCACTTCTTTATGTCCCAATATTGCCATCAGAACTACGAAAAGAAATACATAAACTTCAATTAACCCTTTAAAGTTGATGTTGCACGTAATGAACAACGTACATACAACCAAAAGATAAAGTGCACATTCAACATGTAAAGAAATACACTTAATTGGCTAATTATACATTACATACGGACACATAATCATACATGTTCACATACGTTAACACCATACGACACATACCTCATTGGCCTCTCTAACTCAAGAGGAATAAACTTGAAGGGTTGCAGTTTTTCTTAAACAAACTTCTTTGCACTTCTTAAACCTTAAAAACGTGTTTTAGCACAGCACCTTGTGGCTGAACTACTTGTAGTGGATCGGAAGAATATCTTCATTGCAACAATGAAATAATTCCCAAGCTAAACAAAACAAGAAAAGGTTCCCCCTCCCCCTTATAGTTTTAGTTAAATAACTTTAAATGAATTAACATGCATTAACAACAAATATACATTACTTATTTATTCTAATGATTAATTTGAACATTTTAACTATTTATTGACTTTTTTAATGTAAAGTTTATGTTTATAGAGTGTAATATATAAGCTTTGCTTCTGACGGCAGCTACACATGTTTTACAGGGTATACCCTTCCAGCTGCAACCCAGTACTGGCAAACACCCATTCACACTCAGACACCTGTACCTCATGTCTTTGAACTATGGCGGAAACCAGAGTACCCGGAGAAAACCCACGTGAACACAGGGATGCCAAATGACCCAGCCGGGTCTCAAACCAGCAACCTTCTTGCTGTGAGGTGACTGTGCTACCAACTGTGCCACTGTGTCACCACTCTTTCAAGCAACTGATAAACAAACTTAGTTTTCTATCGTCACGTCATGCAAGCACAAATTATTTAAATATCAACATTTCTGTTCAACACAAAAAATGTTTGTCCAGAAAACTCAGTTAAACATGTAGACATAACATTTTAGCAAATATTGTTGACATAACATATATTTTTATGTAATCAATTCGTATTCACAATTCTTAGTATTTATGACAGAAAAAGTACAGTGTGCTGAACAAATAGTGATTTTGTTTTTTAGAGTGTATGTTAACAGCAATTTTTGATTACATATCCATCTAAAGTCATAATTGAACTAAACATAAATTTATTAAAACATGTGAAGTATTTTTATTTTTGAAACACATTACTGAAGCTTAGTTCAGACTTGCAAACACTTTAATCAAACTATACCATTTTGTTGTACTTTTCCATACATTTTGAGACAGGGTGCACACACTGAACTGTCAGGCATTTGACGACAAACAAATGAAAAAGGTTTCAAGCAAGAGCACATTTTTGGTCTAAGTTGAAAACAATGACTATGCTGAGAATTATCCAACCAGACCTTAATGTTTACTCTGAGTTTAATGCAGGGGCATGGATGAAAAGCTAATGAATGAAATGGCAGAGGTAGCCTGTTGATTGTGAATTTATGTCTGTCCTCAGATTGCACACATACTGTGAAATTAGCAGCAGTTAAACTTGTAGCAAAAGAAAAAAAGAAAAAAAAAAAGCCCAAA